GTAAATGGTTTTCCACTTTGCCTTTTACAGACAACACATTTAGATATAGCTGACCTAACCATACGTCTACCCCCAAGTATCCAGTACTTTTCTCGAAGAAGGCTTGTAAGTCCCTGAACACCAACATGGCAAAAGTTTCTGTGGTACTCACAAATCAGTCGGTTGACGATCACATGTTGTGCAGGTAAAATAACTGGAAAACGGAAATCATCCTTATCTTGTCGATTTGTCATCTGTGTCTTTACTCGTAATAACCCATGCTTATCTCTAAAGGGTTTTAAGGTACACAACCTTTTATCATTCTCATCATGAAAACATTCGCTCTGAATCAATTTTAAAACAAAGGTTTCTGCTGTATTAATTTCTACCACCATCAACTCTCCTGATCGTTTTTGATGGCGATTTTTAATATTAAACGCTAAACGGTAAAGCCATCCTACCATTCGTAAAATCTTATTATAGCTTGAAAAATAGGTAAGATGCCATTCTTCTGATAGAGAATTATTAAGCATACTGGTCACCTTTCCTTTTAACCGCTCTTGATTGATTTCTTCTTCATTTAAATTCGTTGATTCTTGAGGCCATTTTTCCTCACTTTGGTACAACCATTCGGGTCCCTCCCACCATCTCGAATTTAACAATTGTTTAGGAGAGCAACCTCTAGAGGGAAGATCTGCGGGGTTTTTCACTCCTGGAACATGCATCCATGCATCAGGTGGCGTCAAGTTTCGTATTTCGGTTACTCTATTTCGAACAAAAATAGACCACTCTTCAGTTTTACGAATCCAGGATATGACGGTTGTAGAATCGCTCCAAAAATAACAGTGTCCCTGCCCAGACAAAGTTTCCTTTACATTGACACATAATCTGGATCCTATTGTTGCCGCCAACAGTTCCAGACGTGGTACCGAAACTTTCTTTAAAGGAGCCACTCTAGCTTTAGCCGCCAACAAACGAATAATAACCTGTTCGTTTTGGACGATACGCAGAAACACCACCGCAGCAAATGCTTTTTCACTTGCGTCACAAAATGTGTGAAGACTCCAACATTGTAGATTGGAAGGAGTAAGTCCCGCCCAACGCGGAATTTCAACCGTCATCAAACTCTGCAACTCTTTAATCCATTTACAGAATTCAGTTGCAGTTTCCTCATCCACAACCTCAGATAACTTCGTCTTCCAAAGCCGCTGGAGAAGCAATTTGGGCACCATAGTGGTAGGACATAAAAAACCGATTGGATCAAACAACTGTTGAGCAGCGGAAAGCATCTTTCTTTTCGTTATTTTTCCTTCCAAACTAATTGTTTCTTGTAAAGCTTTCATGTTGATGGTCAACGTATCTTTTCTTAAATGCCAATTTAACCCGAGCACAGACACATTCTCCGCTTCTCGACTGTCAGAGCTGTTATACTCCCACCCTCTGAGATCAAAACTGGCTTCTGTCATAACGGTACTGGCCTCTTTAATGAATTGAGTCAAAATGTCTTCGTCGGGAACACTGGTGGTGCAATTATCCACATAAAAACTCTTCTTCAAGCGTAACAACGTCTCACGAGTATACGGGATATCTGGGTTCATACACCTATCTAAACTCTTCATCAAATGATAGTTTATTGTTGCTCCCAAAAGAAATGGGCTGCTACTAATTCCAAACACCACCCTCCTATGACGATAGACCCTTTGAGTTCCATCTGGTTCCAACCACAGAAATTTTAGAAAGTCTCTGTCCTCTTCTGATAAACTTATCTGGAGAAAAGCTTTACGGATGTCAGCTATTACACCAATTTTAAACTCTCTAAATCTCAGTATAATAGACGGAATTAATTCAATTAGATTAACGCCCTTATCCAAGCAATGATTCAAAGAGGGGCCTCTCCTGTCTCGTGCTGACGCATCAAATACCGGTCGTATACGCGTAGTTGAATTATCCTTTATAACAGGTCTATGTGGTAAATAATGTCCCTTTCGTGAATCTGGTTCCGTCACTTCTTCTATTATTCCTTCAGACAACCACAGTTTAAAAATATCATCATATGCTTCGTATAGTTTGGCACCACGTAACTTTCTAACAGTCGTTTCTAGTCTCTTCGTTGCTTGCTCAAAATTAGTAGGTAACGCAGGATGATCTACCAACCAAGGAAGCTTCACCTCGTATCGACCTTCATTATTAATGGTGACGGTATCCAAAAAGAATTTCTGTACTGACAGCGCTGATTCCTCTCGACTTTTTTTCTCTATTGGGTCTTTTATACCCAAAACGTCTAAATCCCAGAGCTCAGCTATGGGGGTGTCTTTTACCAAACCGGAAAATGTCATATTAGTCCGGAATAAACCAGTACGTGATTTTCCTAATAATGTCCATCCCAAAACAGTTTCCATGGCCACCACACCAGATTTCAAAATTTCTCGTCGCCCCGTATAAAGAGCACCCGCGAAATCAGCCCCTATGAGAAGCTCGATAGGGTCGCAACCTTCAGCATCTTTTATCTGTATGCCGAAGGATTTAAGTTCATCATTATATAGTCCACGTGACATAGATGAAACTCCCTGACATATTAATTTTTGGTCAAGTACCTCAATCTCATAAGTACACGAACCCTTCACCAACTTAATGTCGTAACAATTATGTCTTTGTGTCATTTGAGATCCACCAAACAATCCATGATTTATCGTCTCCTTTCGTTTTGGGCCATAACCTAGCGACGCAGCGATTGTTTTAAGAATATAAGATCGTTGCGATCCACTATCGATCAATGCTCGCACAGAACGAAGACCATTTGTTGTTTCAATATTTACATGTAAGGTTTGCAGTAGCACCTCATTTGTTGATTGATTCGATAGCGTCTGATCAACCTTTTCGACTTTATCAATTTTATCATCTGCTGATGATTCATTTCCTCGCTGATGGTTAGGTAAATTAGGACACATTAATACTACATGCTTTCTATTACAAATAATACATTTTAATTGACTTTTGCATTTCTTTGACAAATGGCCTATTTTAATACAACAATAACAAGCCCTTTTTTCTGTTACCCTCTTTTTTTTCTTCTCCATAGACATTTTCTGAGCCTTGAAACAAACTGCGCTCTCATGTGAGCCCTCACAGAAAATACATTTGTTGAACTCTGAATTAATCAATCCAGCTGTAGTTGGTATATTGGGTAGCCTTTTTTGCTCCATTTGTTTGTCCCTCTTTTCACCAACGTCCCTTTTTATTAAGTTCGTCATGGAACGAAGGCCAAAACCCTCTGCTGCAAGCGTAATGCGCTGCTCGTTTTCCACTTCAGCTTTTAGAAAGGCCATTAATTTTTGGAGACGGTCCTCTAACGTCGACACATTGTTAGTTGAATCTGATAAAGCACTCGGCAAGGCGTTTGGCAACCTTTGCCAGACCCTTAAAAGATCTTCCGGTAAACACGATTCTATAAGTGGGAATATTATCGCGGAACATTGACCAGAAGTAATCCCAAGTGTGTCCAATGCCCGCAATTGCGTCTCAAGCTCGTCATATAATGACGAAATGTCAGGCCTACTTGTTGATGTTGCGTTAACCAAAATTAATCGTAATAAACCGCGAACGTACACTTCGATTTGAAGATCTTCACGACCGAAACGCGCTTTAAGACTATCGACGATTTTCTCGTAATTATCGGCCAAAGCGGGAAAACTATCGACGAGTTGTCTTGCACGACTACCCGAAACCGTTGCCTGCGTTAAATAGTCAATTTTATCGTTTTCGTCTATATCGGTGGCTTCGTGCACTTTTTTAAACTGCCCCCAAAAAGGTAGCCAGTCTTTAATGTTGCCGTCAAACTTTTTAAACTCAATAACAGGTAATTTAAATGTACGCTTACCCGACTGCCGATGGACAGCGCCATTCGATACATGGGTGTCAACACTCACCCCTGATGCTCGATCTTCTACCAGTAGCTTTTCACATTTCACCTTTATATGTGTGAATTTCCTGATATAAATATCACATTCGTCGACTTCGGTGACCAAGTCTTGTTCCTCCGTGTCGACCTCCAAAAGTCCAGCATAAATTATGGCATCAGCCGCTCTCAAGTCTTCGTACTTTTGTAACAACATATTCCATGCCACTTGGATACCCTCAATATCTTTTGGAACAGCCACCAGCAAAGACTGTAGCTCATTAACATAGCGCGTCACTGCACTACGTAATACTCGCCGGTTTTTCCTTTGTGCTTCCATTATTATTATTATAGACTAGTTCATACAAGTTTCGATTCAAAATCACGTACTTTCATTAGAATACCAATGCAAAAGCCGTATAAACTCATCTCGTACGTACTCACGTAACCATACGATGAACTAACTGTAAAAATAGTCCTGTCACGGTCGCCATTATGTTCCGTCCACAAACAAAACTACCCGTTTTCCCCGGACGGCCAGGTTCTCTTCTTAAGACAATAATGTCAAGCAAAACTCTTTATTAGCACACAGTTTTAACATAACATAATTAAACCGGTCATGTCTAGAAATATATTAAATCTAAAAACTTCATTCTAATAACAATTAAATTCTGACAGTAATACAACAAAACTCTCTGACACTTCGTGCAGTGATATGCAGGGATATAAATCAAAATTTACATACATTGTTCATAAGCATCTAACATATACTATGACTTTCAAAAATGTTTTGCAGAGTTTGATTTTACTTTTATAACTGATGTATTATAAACTATAAAAAATCTACATTACAAATTTTTCGTTGGAACTTCTATGGTTGAACGTTTTTAGCAATCATTCGCCCAAAATTTCCCAGCCAACGTTTGAACTACGTATTTCCCACTTAAAATCATACACTCAAACAACGTTCTGAGTTTAACAAAGTGACTCATGGGTTACAATGTTGACCGGGTTGTAGTTTAATTTTCTATAAAATCATCACTTTAAAACTTTTTTAAATTAAAATAATATTTATATTTATAAATTTGTTTATGCTTATTATTATACTAATAATATTTATTTTTAGCGGTTTGGATGTCTCAAAAGTTGTAACAAGTTTTGGTATCAAGGACTCAAATATGGTTACAAATGCTGGAACTTTTGCTGTAGCTTACGCTTTTCATAAATTATTAGCTCCAGTTCGAATAAGTATAACTTTAACATCAGTACCATTTATTGTAAAATATTTAAGGAATAAGGGTATTTTAAAAAAGGCTTTGTAATATGCTTAATAAGCATTGCTTATTTTTAAATGTATATAATTTAATTTATATATTTATCATATTTTTGAACAGTTAAATAAATATTTTATATATTTTTATCTATTTTGCGTTCATAATGACTTCATTATAACACCGCTTTCGGTGCTTTAATGAGATACTTTATCCCACCCAAAATTTTATAGGTTGGCTTTACAACATAATATTTTGCATATTGGTTATAATATTTTTATGATTTTTCTAGTACTTACGAGACTTTTCTGGCAATAAATTTTGTTTAACACCAAAGAAACCCCTTTTTTTCTTTTAACAGCCGCTTGTTGTAAATAAGTAAATTAAGGAACATAGGACGACATGGCGAATCGATTTTGACATTAACTGTCAAACCAATGACTGATACCAACTATCTAAAGTAAAATTCGACCAAATTAAATATAAGGTATAAAATGAATTTGTTGTATAGAATTTTTGCAAAATAGATAAAATAGCATAAAGAACTCATGTCATAAGACCTTTTGTCGCACTCGTCAATTACAAAACTTGACAAAATGACGACTTATGACATTAGTTGTTTAACTACGCTTTCGAGAAAGGATCGAACGGTCGATTTGCATGGGTTCAAGAAATCGATTGAAACTTTTTTTACCTTATTTCTACATCTAAATACAGTACTTTTTTTCAAAAAAAAATCTCGTCCATTGACAACTTTGTTTTTATTTTTATTTTTTTCTTCACTGTGTTAAAAATGAAGAAATTTCTTTTTTTTTTAATAACTTTTTTATTTCAAAACGTATCGATTTGAAATTTATACAAAATGTAGATCTTACTAATGGAAAATTAATCCATGAAAAAATTTTGCTTTGATTTTAAAATTTAACAATTTTTAAAGGGTAAAGTAGAGGCATCCGTTTTGGCCACTTTAAGAGAAATTTTGAGTTTACTGCGCTGCCAATATTCGTTTATAGAGTCTAGCTTTGGATGAACTATTTTAACTGTTTCCGTCTTTATCGTTAATTTAGTATATCTACATAGAATAAAAAGAGAAAGCACGTATGTAGCCCAAAAATAAATTTATATTGAAAAAGTCGCATTTCACCGGTTTTGGCCAGGAAAACACCGTTTTTGGCCATAGGAAGACCCAGTTTTGGCCACCAATTAATAAAGCAATTTTTATTCAGTTTTTATTATTTTTTGTAATAAAAAAGTTAATAAAATATAAAAAATACATTCTAAAAAACAAATACATTCTAAAAATACATTTAAAAACAAATATAACTCTATAGAGTTCTATATTTCAGAGCGTTATATATTTCCGTTTAGTTCGGTAACTAATCTTTATATTTTTTTATTTTGTCCACTAAATATGCTTCCTCGTGTTTTTCTGAACAGGTTCTTTACATCCTCATATCATTTCAATTACATCCTCATATTCATACAGCAACTCGTTTTTCCTTTCTGGCCATTTCCAATAAATGTAGCCTTAGCCTTAAAAGAAATCATACCCCCATTTTTTTTATAACCATCCCAGGAAAGTAACTTTTCTCGTTATTTACAATGACAAATGTGCCCTTATAAATCTTTTCTTTGGTTTTATTTACTTCAGTTTTAGTTGCCGTATTTTACGTGTTTGAATCTTCATCTGAGGATGTGCCTCCATTTGCGGAAACGGGTGTGTCACTGACGAATGTGTCCTTATGAATCTCTTTTTTGGTTTTATATTTTTCTATTTTAGTTTCCGTATATTCCTTGTTTGAATCTTCATCTGAGTATGTGCCTCAATTTGCAGAAACAGGTTTGTCAGTGACGAATGTGCCCTTATGAATCTCTTCTTTGGTTTTATATAGGTACTTCTATTTTATTTGCTGTATTTTCCTTCTTTGAATCTTCATCTGAGGATTTGCCTCCATTTGCGGAAACGGGTTTGTCAGTGGGTTTGGCTTTTGTAGTGTTTGACTTAGTCTTTTTTGGTTTGTCTGCTTCTTTCTTCTTTTTTCGCTGCATTTTCTTGCTTCTTGTTTTCTCTTTTCCTTTTTATCTCTTGTTTTTTTGCCTCCAAAACTTCCTTTTCCTTCTCCTTAACTTCTGCCATCAGAGGTCAGAACACTTGGCATTCCAGTCCTCTGTTTATTTTTTGAGTGACCGGCCGGCTATTTTATTTCGTAAGGTTGTTCTAGGAACGGCGAATGTTTTGCTAGATTTAGCCGCGGCGGCTAAATCTAGCAAAACATTCGCCGGCCGTTTCAAATAGCCACTAAGGCATTTTTCAGTTGATCCGGTTAGTATTGAAAGAAGTACCTACCTTGTACCAGCCTGGTGATCAAAAGTAGCGGCTATAAAATAACTTTTGGCCATGGTGGCAAAAAATGGAAAACGTTACCCCCGTTTTGGCCAAGGCAGTGGCCAAAACTGGAGAAATGGCCATTTTATTATGACCTTTTTGGCCACCGCTCTTTACCCAAAACCGGTTGGTTAAACTTTATAAGCATTATTTTATAGTCATTGTTAAACATTATACAATTTAAAAAATCATCAATCATATTAAAGCTCCTATTCAATTAAATGTTTTGATCAAAAAACTTACCTGGGTTTCTTAACGTTTTTGCTAAAGATTGGATATCAACACGGGTAACTATCGATTGCGCACAGCGGTCAGTTTTTACCTGCAAAAATTAACCCTTAATCCCATTCCCAATTGATTTACGGGGTGATCTCAAAAAGGCTATTAAGGGACACATATTTAAACAATAAATTTATTATTATTTTGTAATATATTTATAACAAACTTTTTGTACAAAATCAAACCTAGTAATTGAATTATTTTTATAAGAAATAACTAAATTGGATATATAATCCTGATGTTTCTTATAGTTGGCATTTTTAGAAACAGGCAAGTGAACACTGTTTATTTTAATTGTAGTGTTTAACTGAACATCTCTCAACACACATATGAACCTGAAAATGTCTGGGTGCGCAACATAAAAACTTGCAGTCAATTTGCTATGAAAAGATTCACATGCGTTTGTTGTCCGTTCAGAACTACTAGTACAAGAAGCCCAGATATTTGATGGAAAAGTTGCACTTTTAGAAATATAGTTATCTACTAAGTAATCCGCGTACTTTATGACATTTTCATTTTGTGGAATTATAGAATAGAAATCTTCAATAAAACACTCTTCCACATTATAACTATCTAAAAACAATAGTCCAAATGTCCATTTAAGCCACTGACCTATCTCAGAATCATTATTTTTGTATTCACTAACTAATCCTGCATCCTATAATAATAATTTGTGGTCATACTTTCTTAAGACTAACATGAATTGATTTTTCAAAATCACAAACGATTTCGTTGGGATTTAAACACAAATTGATTCTAGAACAATATTTACGAAGTAAATCAAACGCATTAGCGTAAGTATCTGAATTTTTGTTTGGCAACAGAATAGAAACCAAAGGAATATAGTGCCCATTTTCGACTGTATGAATAGTGAATAGCTACATAAAATATTTAGGACAAAATGTAAATGTACCATCGACATAAATTTTTGAACGACTACACAAATACTTTAAATTAGTTTGACATGAAAATAAAATTATATGTAAACTGGAATCATTAATTAATAAAAAGTTTTCACCCTTTGTAGTATGGCATTCATAGGAGTCCAGTGCGCTGTGGATATCTTCCAGTGATCGTGGTAATGCAGGCTGCATACTTCTTCTCGACCGGTAGACACTTTGTTTCATGTTAGAAATATCTTTTGTTGTTAACATATTCAAGACATCTGGAGCCTCATTAATTCCCATATTAATAATTTTTGATGGGCGAAGAGATATGTCTTCTGTCACTTTTCTTTTAATTGCATTTTGTAGCTTCTTTACTTTAAGATTTTCAATGGAAGGATGGTTATGCTGACCATTTACTTGGAGTAAAACCTCTTCTGTCAACAATTCCCGGCTGTTAAATTGCCTACAAAAAAGCCTTAAATGTACTCTTTTTTGAAAAAAAAATCATATTTTCGTTGCTACGATTCCAATTCAAAAAATTTGAAAAACGTTTCAAGGTAAGACATAATACTTCATTATTTCAAAGTAAAAACGAGAAAAAAAATATTTTTTTTACAAACGGGGCTTGGATGAAGTTATTGAAAATTTTTACCGTTTAACATATCACCCTGTAGTAAATTTACTTGAAGAACCTTGAGTTCATATCTATATCATGAATTGCCAGATGATGGGGCTAGGAGACATCACAGACCAAAATAAAATCGTCCAAGAAACAAAAAAGTTATGTCGTTTTGAAAAAGAATGAACTTTTTGGTCGCGACACATTGAGTGGTGCCCAGTTTATTACTGTCTGTCCACTCTAACTAAGGAATTTTGTTGTTTAGATATTAATGAATTGTCGTACTGTGTGCTTTTAAAACAGATTTTATATTATAAATAATACTAGTATATAATATGTACTAGTATTATTTATAATATAAAATCTGTTTTAAAAGCACACAGTACGACAATTCTTTAATATCTAAACTACAAAATTCCTTAATTCCGCCAACTTAGAGTGGACAGACAGTAGATACAATAAATACACATTTTATTAATGATTAACGTGAAAAGTGTAAACATTTCAATTCAGTAATAGTCGTCTAAATTTATTAAAAGCGTTGATTAAGAATTTAAAGTCTCCACTCGACGGTAAAATACCAGTACCTATATTATGTATTATATATAATATTATAACTGTCAAAAATGTTCTCTAATAGAGAGTGTCTATTCTTTATTATCCCTCTATTCCTAAAAAATTTATTTATAAATTATTACTACCAATGCAAGAAGTGCCCAAGTCACATTTTAAGTGTTATTGTGGCGTCATCTTAGAGTTTTCACGTAAGTTGAAAACCAGGCAAACTCCCATTTAAGTAAATGCAAACAAGGCAGTGCCTTGAAGGCACTTCTTGCATTGACTCTTCACATGTTCTTAAGCATTAATTATGTGTCTTAAATGTTTAATATAGTATTTTCTCTCATGTTCTTAATTTTAAATGGAATCTAAACGGTACTTTTTATAAAATGAAATAAAACTGTGATTTCACATAA